GAGACCTAGATAGACGCAAAATTAAAAACTATCAAAAACTTTTTAAACAAATTAACCAAGCTACTGTCATCACGTGCAAAACAGTTCATATGATAAACTTTAGTAAGTATCGTTTGACCTCTGTAGGTGATTTCGTATGGCAGATTCGGTATGCTTTGTACTTTAACGTGATCTTTGATAACATTTATCAGTGAAATTCTTTGCTATCTGACATGACAAAGCATGTTCATTATCGATATATATTTCTCAGTGTGACCATTTTAATAATATGGACTACGAAAGACCAGCAAATAACACATTTACATCCATGTCAGGTGACAAGTGTTGATCACCACGAACTTCAGCTAGCATTTACATGAAGATCCCGTTTGTTTGTACCCGCCCCATTTTAAAACAAAAAGGCAATAAGATTATAAAAAAAATAAATTGTACAGAACTTAATCATTCAAGCCAACGATAACTAAACATTCTACCTGATTGTCGCCTCAAAGTTCCGCACACAGTCACCTTGTTGGTGTTTCGAACCTAACGGGAGTTTCTTTAGTAACACAGTCGCCATATTTGCAGGAGCGAGTCTGTATCCAAGCAACAACTATCATGCATATCTTGGTCTTTATTAATCTCAATAATTCCGTCATTTTTTTTTATAGTTATATCTCTTTGAACACATGTATACATGAGTTCATACTCTTATATGTTCATTTATTTTTCGAAATATTAAAACCTTACTGTTCTAATATTACATGCAGACTTCATTTTTACTGCTATGGACTGTTCTGGAAACCAGAAAAAGACAGCGAGAAGTCTGTGCATGTTAAGGTTAGAAATAAAAAGTCAATGAATGATTTAACATAAATTTTTGCATATTTTAAAAAATATCCTTCATGCTTTTCGCTTTTAAAATCGGTGGGGAATATAAACAGTCTGGGGTGGGATGGGTGTGGTGGGATGTGGTGTGGTAGAATGGAGTGAGATTACCATAGATGCCGTGGGTGGAGTGAGCTTACTATAGACGCGTTCTGCTTCCACACCATGTTTTTTGAACTGAAAATCCATATGCGTAACCATTTTGTCCGTCTAAATATATCTCTTTATGCTAGCGGAATTGCGTTAAGAGGTTCTTTCTCTCACTCCCCTGTAAGCGTGTGCATGTGTGTGGATTTGGGCATATATTTTTTAATACAAGGTGGATTTGTGTCGACAATGGTGGTTTATGGCGTCACCATTACGGTACAAGCGAAAGAACTAAAACAAGTTGTTATGATCATACTTCTTAGAGTTACTGCTCTTGGCTCAGTTCAGCACAAGGGCAAAGTTCTTGACAAAGACAGTGCATTATTCCGAATTTTTTTATTTTTATCCGAAAATATGTATTTTAATATTTGCAAAGAAGACAATTAGGTATTAAATTATCCTAACAAATCTCAATCACATGATTTGCTAATTATAAAGAAAGAAGATATGCAGTTTTAATTTTTAACAACTCGTAAATTAAGTTGAAATTGCGAAAATGTTTGCTTAAGAGCGAACAAAAATAAAATCAAAGACAATATATCTAGTATTGATTTAGCAAATTCAAAAATACGTTGTAAATTTTCAAAGTCACAAGAAAGATAGCAAATTCAAAGTGTAATCCTCCACTTTGCAGAATAAATCGTAATAAAGGTTTTATTTACTTGCAAAATACCAAAAGTGAAGTGAAAATATTTAACATTGTTACCTGTTCCAATTGTGTTGGTGATGGAAACAAAGCAGCACAAAGTGCCGTCATCGCCACGGCAATCACCAGACCACTATCATATATACCACAATATAATCCACCACCACAATTATCAATTCTTTCATAATCATCACCACCATCACCTCTATCACATCCACCCTATTTATCAACATTTATGATAACAGTTGAAACGAAGCTTATTTTATGATTGAAGATAGGAATTTTGCATTTTTTTATTCAAACTTTTGAGTCCAAAGATTATCTAGGTTATGGAAACTCGTTTAAATATGGAATAGAAGAAAATGAAAGTTATATTAACTTATAATGTAAGCCTGACCTTATTTATAATGTTGCTATTTTTATGCACTTGAAATGCAATGTCCTTTTAAGCTTTCAATAATCATTAAATAATAATAATAATAATAATAATAATAATAATAATAATAATAATAATAATAATAATAATAATAATAATAATAATAATATGTTGATGATGATGATGACGATGATGATAATTTAAGACAAACAAAATAGATGATGATGATGATGGTGATGATGATGATAATGATGATGATTATGACGATTTTATTATCAAAATGTAAGACGAAACGGAGCGATAATTTATGTATTATGTACCTCTATGCCATGTACGTGGATTATAACGGATAGATAATTATGGATTATATGCCTGTGTGCCATCTACCTAGACTGCAGATAGGTTCAGAAAGAACATAGTATCGGAAGAACTAGAAAGCTTTGATGTCGTCGTCGAGAATCGGTCATGGGTCGAGTAAACACGCCTCCCCTCCTTAACCTCCCCTTTTTTAATATTCATCCTGCAATAAAATCTAACTCTACCGTTCACAGAGATCGCAACCTCTACTGCACGTGTTTCTACTGAAAATTGGACGGTTCCCGAGCACTGACAACGGCTCTATTTGCTCGCTCAACCAATCAATCAAAATCAACAAATCACTCAATATATCAATCAATCAATATATCAATCAATATATCAATCAATCAATCAATCAATCAATCAATCAATCAATCAATCAATCAATCAATCAATCAATCAATCAATCAATCAATCAATCAATCAATAAAGAATCGATAAAAAAATCAAATTAAAAATAAATAAATTAACAAAGCAATCAATCAATCTATTAATCAATAAATAAATAAATCAAACAATCAATCCGTGTGTATGTATCCTATTTACAAAATATTGCATTCTGTATACTTGTTAGAAGGTAAATTTTCCACCAAACACTGACAGTTATGATCAAAAATCTATAACACACACACACACACACACACACTTGATTGGCATATTATCTTTTTGTACATATTATAATACGTCATTTTTACTTAAGACAAGCGATCTAACCACTATTATATTCATTAGACTCGTGTAAAAAAAAGAAGGAACGTTAAAAATAATTTCATGGGGAAAAGAACGCTGAATGACTCAAATAACGAGGCAAAATATGACAATTTCAAAGAATAATGCATGATTCAGAACAGAAACAAAACATTTTTGATCAAAAATTAGCAGTTAGATGAATTATCTTTCTTTAACATATTACATAAAAAGTTATTTGGTGATTCCAAAAGTTCACTTGAATTTTTTTTTGGTTTGTATGCTTTATCGTTGGCCAGGTGTGTCCAACCCACAGTCCGCAGGCCAAATGCGGCCCACTCCTTCACAATGTGCGGCCCGCGGCCGCGTAGGTAGTCCTATCAAAAATATGCATTTTAATTAATTCTTATTCTATTGTAATAAAATTAAGGAGATGCGCATTTAGTTTAAGCAATTCGTAGGTTTGTGTGATTACTTGTTTGATTATTGGAATTTGGTACAATTGGAAATATTCCTTAGCACGAAATAATTAGCGAATTGTTAGAAGCAAACGTCACGGAGAGAAAGTATCACGGAGAGAAAGTGTTAGTGATTTTTCAAGAAGCCATGGTCAATGAGTGGCGAATTCAGACCCAATCCGCATGACTATCCATGTAGTACTTTATAAAAACTAGTTGTGTGTGTGTGTGTGTGTGTGTGTGTGTATGTATATATACATATATGTATGTATGTATGTATGTATGTATGTATGTATGTATGTATGTATGTATGTATGTATGTATGTATGTATGTATGTATGTATGTATGTATGTATGTATGTATGTATGTATGTATGTATGTATGTATGTATGTATGTATGCATGCATGCATGCATGCATGCATGCATGCATGTATGTATGTATGTGTACATATTCTTTTACTCTTCCGTCTACCCTATCAAACCTTAAGCATGCCACCACTAACAAACAAAAATGGCACAATATCAATTCTAAATTGAAGAGTGACTGAAATATTCAAATCTGGACTAGGAAGACACAAGACATTTAAGGAACAACTGGGGAGTACAGACAAAGGAGAGCGGGAAATGGACTGAAAATTCCGCCTCCAATTGCTGAACAAGAACCAGGACTTCCGGAAGCAGAACAAGGCAAGACCATAACCTCCATAGGGCAGGCGCTAGCCCTCCAAATAAAAATAATAAATTCAAACCCTGTCCCTTCCATAGGGCAAGCACTCGCCCACACAAGAGCAAGCGCTGGCTCATTTCCACCTCTCCGTGAAAGCACTGGCACACATCTGGGTAATCACTGTCCCACCTGACAAGAAAACAAAAGAAGGCAACGAGTGACAAAGTCAACTCGTAAGAAAGTGTTCTGTCGCAACCTCCAAGCTACAAGGTCCACAACTCTACTCACTAATCCCTCCAACTCTCATACCCCTCTTTCACGATACTCTCTTCATCCTACCCTTTCCACTAAGAAAAGACCCAAAACAGGTGCTACGGTGAACATAATAGCAAACAACTGGGTGGAATTCTGCAAACAAAAACCTTTTCACAATAAGTCCTCAACCAAACTCTCCTTTCCACTCACTCTCTTCTAACACCCCAACTAACAAAAGGGCCCAAAACATGTGCTAGGAAAATCAAAACTAGCAAAACCTGGGTGGAATCCTGCGTACAACAAGCCTACGTGATTTTCCATCATAAACCCTTCTCCATCTCCCTTCTATGCCATCCTCAACTCATATAAACACAAAAGGACTAAAAGAGGTACTAGGGAAAATATATTAGGAAACACCTGGCTGGAATCCTAGCAACAGCAAACCAGTGTTGTTGATAGATTTTCCATCAAGAATCCCTTCCCACCCTCCCCTCCCTTCTTTCCCCAACTACTTTAGCTATACCAGAGGCACCGCTCCGGTGGCCTAGTGGTTAGAACGTCCGCCTCAGATGCGGGAGGTCGTGTGTTTCAACCCCGGCCGAGTCATACCAAAAACTTACAAAAAAAGGTACTAACAGATGCCTCGCTGGCTCTCAGCATTAAGAGGTTAGTGTTAGGACTGGTTGGCCTGGTGTCAGGATAATGTGACTGGGCGGGACATCATGCCATATGTCTGCGGCATGATGCCCAGTTCTAGACATTACTATACACTGTTACAGTGAAGACATCGTAGCGATATGACTGAAAAATTATTAAAGCTACGTTAGAAATATAAATAACACACTCAACAGAGACACTTCTACTGGCAATCGAAGACTTCATTCGATTACATCACCACATATAACTACGTGGATTCTTTGGACTCTCCGTCATCAAAAACAACAACTAAGACTAACGATGCGTGACCTCAAAATCTGACCCCAAGATGATTGGTATAATTTGGACTATGGAAGTACGTTTAGTACACCAAATTCTAACTACATAAAAATAGATTAGGCAATCTTCAACTCAGAACTTAGGTCAATTGCATAGATGACTTTCACATTACTGGGTATAAGGAACTGGACGGAATTTGACATATAATCCCCGTACGGTCGGTGGACAACATCAACGGTCAGCGGTTAGCGTTGCCCGTCGGGTCCCCTTCCTCCTTCCCACCTCCTAAGAGGCAATTGAAGAGTACGGATATAGTACATAAATGCATTGTTTTTGTGGCACCATTCCAAAAACACCGACCAATTAAAAAAGCTCAGTCACTGAGCATAAACTAGTCGCAAAAGATCTAAGATAGAGTAGGCGACTTTAATAATATTCAGTCAGTCAGCGTCAAGATGTGTGAAGAGAAGATCAATACCACCATGAAACATACAGCGATGGTAGATCACCTCATACACCGGGCTGGAGATATTTTACTTAGCAAAAGTGGTTGATCCACAGAGGACATCTTTAGAGAAGCACATTAAATTCTCTCTAGACTCCAATAAGAAGAGAATATACCAGGAAGGAGACCAAAAACAGGGAAAGAAAACAAGATTCACTTTTTAAGAAGAGTATGAGAGACTCCAAAATCGGAAGACAGAGCAAAGAGCTGCAGTAACAGCAGCAGAAAACAGTGGGGGTGGGGGAGCACGAGAACGATCATAACCACCACCACCAAATGAAATAAAGTGAAGAAGTCAACTTCATTTACAGTTGTTGGTCCACTACAGCACTTGGACATAAGACAAGTGAATAAAGTCGATGCTGCAAAGCCTAGCCTGAGTTGTCTCCACCTTTATGTAAGGACCCTTTCAGGTTTGAGAGGTTAGATTGACAACCTTTTTCATGGTTACACAGGCATTTAAGAAAGATAGCTTTGTTGCGGCATCCAAACTTGCCAGTGCCACTAAATGTTACAGACCTCTGACTTTCCATCCCTTCACCGGGGTCGAAACTTCACGTTCACACCTACTTTGGTGTTTAAGAACGATTGTTTATTTATAAGTATGAGTGTTAGACATCATACCATACCATGCCGTATAACCACTATAAGAGTGTTGGATTATAAGTATAAAGTATTAGATGTGATATAATGCCATACCGTAAAATAGCTATGTGTTTTGCATATAAGGATGAGTGTTGGATAGTAAGCATGAGTATTAGACATGATACTATACCATACCGTAAACCAGCTATGCGTTGCGTGTAAAGATGAGTGTTGGATAGTAAGCATGATTATTAGACATGATATAATACCAAACCGTAAAACAGCTATGCGTAGTGTGTAAAGATGAGTGTTGGATGGTAAACATGAGTGTCGCTATAACATACTGCTTGTTCCCGAGACGTTTTGTAAAGTTGTATGATGTTTATCATACCATTCTATATTCCCTGCACCAAGACTCTCGTTGGTATGGAAGACTGTTGGACTGAACGTATGCTTGCAGGTTATCATACCATTAAAAGGTAATATTGATTACTATGTATTTGACTGCAATGACTGTAATCAATTAGTGTGCAGATGATAATGTTTACTATGTATAGTCATCCCAGGTCTGTCAGTGGAAGCTATCATATTAATGTAGTATAAATACAATATCCATAAATCCATACTCGAATATCTCGATAAATACTCCAGTATTTGGATATCGCATTTTATTTGTTTAACTTTATGTCAGTCAACGGCAATGCAGGTGAATCGGTTGTTTTTTTTTATAGAAATGAAATGCAAAGAAATATATCCAAATTTCATACCAGACTGTGAATTTACAATTTACAAATAAAGGAAAGGGACAGCTATGAAAGTGGAAATTGTCAGTTGCGCTTGTTTTCGTACCAATAATTTGTGAACTACTTGAGAATAGACTATAAAAACTGGTATGCGATCATGGTTACACTCCAATTCCATAAGTGTCTTCTTGACCATGATTTTAACGGTAAAAATAGAATATGGCGGAGATTCATTGAAAACAATTTTGGATGATAGCGTGGTTAGAAACGGAAAATGAAAAAGATATTTAGCCGTTTTAAAAGCTCTTTAAGCAAAGAAACAGAACAAAATGATCCACCAAAAAACAGAGATTTAGCGGCCGCAGAGCCGTTGGCATATGAAATTCGAGAAAAGGACTTGCCGAAGTTACATAAAGCTGTATGGAACGGAGATTTGGCCAAAGTTAAGCAACTGGCGAGAAAAGATCCCAATGCATTGGACAAAGAAAACAGGTATTTCATCGTTCTAAATAAAAAGGTGTCATTGTTATGTATCCGTTGGGATGGGGTGGTGGTGGTGCAATCAACACAATTGGTCATAGACATGTCTTGACGTCTTGAGTTTAACCTGTTCTTTGTACATGTAACGGTTGAGTTGTCACAAATTTAGAAACAAGTTTACTGCTACTGGGTCAAAAATTCTTTAGCCTTTTGTTTTAAAATTTTCTTAAAAGTTATATAAAGATTTGATAAATGAATATCAGAGAAAACGCAAGATGTTTTTTTTTTATTGTTGCTACTTTACAGTGTGCGTGTGCCCAGATTATTGATCATAAGATTTTTTTTTGAACTTGGGAAGGGGGTGGGGGCATGTTGCTTAGGTTTCAAGATCAGTTCCATAATGTTTACATTATTTATTTCCATCAAGGGATTGGTAGTGGTTGACTTCAAACAATGGGGGAAGGGTTACTGGGTGGCTTCAAACAAAGGGTGGGTGGCAGTAACCTTAAGTCAATTTTTTTTTTGCACTGGTAATGATTGGTAACAGTTTGGAATAAAGAACAATATATACATAGGTCATGTAGGTGCTTACAGTAAAAGTCATACATGCCCTGTAAGCATTCAATATTGAATATTTCTGTAATGGTTTTTACTTTTTAGAATTTTATTCTACATACCATTTAAAGTCAAATTATTAATATTATTTGGACCCTCATACAGCTCAGCCATATTTTTTTAGAAGGTCCTTATTTACATGCACCAGGAAGTTCTTATGGAAAAAATCAGTGCTAAAATATGTGGAATTTTCGGATGAGATCAGCCTAATGTGATCCAGTACAATCTAGATCAAAGGTGTAGAGTGAGATCAAAATGCAAGCTACACTTGTTGATAAACAAATTCATAACACAGGTAAAACCAGTTATAATGTGATGCTTGGAGTTCAAAGAAAAACATTGTGATATAAACAGTATCATGTTAACAAATTTTTTGAAAAACTTCCCCATCAAAAATGTGCATTGAAATTTCAGTGTCATCAGTTTTAACAAACCTCATGGTCATAAATTGTTTATTTTGTCTGAACTTGATAGCTTTTCTTTATTTTCACTAACAAATTTAACACTGCAATATTTTGGATAATTTGGAAGTTAAGGCAACACTAGACTCAGTGATGGAATTAAATATCAGCTACAGATATGAATAATAAGCTTTTCCAAGTTAAAAAAAATGGAAGCTATCTGTCATTGCGTTTTAAGAGGAATCACATTATAATGAATCACATTATAATGGATTTTACCTGTACACTATAACTATAATGATTAGACTCAATGTGCTGTTTTCTTTACCCAGTTTATTGCCTGGCCACCATTGCAAGAGTCAAGAATAGTACTGGTAGATAATTTTCATCTGGAAGTTACTTGAAGACAGTCAAGGTGCAGAACATTCAATAATCAGGATTGAATAGACTTTGGCCAAAAAAATTTGTATTAAATTGTAAAACAACAATTTATATTGTTATATTGTTAGTTAAGATGAGTATATACACATTAATATCCTGTATGATTTCTACTATAGTCCAAGTTTGTTTAGACCCTTTCCAGCCAATTTGAGATAATTTGACATTTATGTCAAAATATTAAAAAAATGAGTGGGAAAGGACACACTTGGTATAGTAAGTATTCAGTTGTAACTTTAACATAATGAATATAATTTTTCAGAATCCAATTATATGTATCTTAAATGATTAATGACTTCATTTAAATTTTCATACCTACATGTTCTATAGAAAGTCATTATATAAATGCTTTGAGAAATGAATATGGCACAGTCATTGTTCAAGTATTTGGACATTTGCTGACAAAATCATCTTAATGGTGTGACCCAGTATAAGCCCAGATTGAATGTTACATGTTATGATGTCACAATGAAAGCTATGTATGTAGGAATGAAAGTTGCATGTTTTTTGCCATGATGGAAACAGTGTCTGCCTTTAACAGTCCAGTTTAGTACCTGGCCACCATTGTAAAGTCCATAGTGATAATAATTTTCCACTGGATGTCATTAGATGACATTTAAGGCACAGAGCATTCATCGTTTAGGACTGAATAGGCTTTGTTTGAAATGTAGTGGTATTAAATTTTAGAACAGCAATTAACTTAATTTTAGTATTTGCACCTATAGTATATGATGATATTAACATGCTCCCCTTTTTTATGAGGCTACTAAAACATTTATGTTACTGTTTAACAAAAGAATATTGGTATGGTAAGTTTTTAAACATTTCCAAATGATATGCAGTTAAGTCTGTCATGTCTACATGGGTGAATGAAATTGTTTTGTTTTCATCGTGAAAATGTTTATAAAAATTAC